AACATGGACTATACAAACTATACAGCATGAATTAACATAACTATACAACATGGACTAAACAAACTATACAGCATGAATTAACATAACTATACAACATGGACTAAACAAATTATACAGCATGAATTAACTATACAACATGGACTATACAAACTATACAACATGGACTAAAACTATACAGCATGAATTAACTATACAACATGGACTATACAAACTATACAGCATGAATTAACATAACTATACAACATGGACTAAACAAACTATAAAACATGAATTAACATAACTATAAAACATGGACTAAACAAACTATACAGCATGAATTAACATAACTATATAACATGGACTAAACAAACTATACAGCATTAAATAACATAACTATACAACATGGACTAAACAAACTATACAGCATGAATTAACATAACTATACAACATGGACTAAACAAACTATACAGCATGAATTAACATAACTATACAGCATGGACTAAACAAACTATAAAACATGAATTAACATAACTATATAACATGGACTAAACAAACTGTACAACATGAATTAACATAACTATACAACATGGACTAAAACTATACAGCATGAATTAACATAACTATACAACTTGGACTAAACAAACTATACAACATGGACTAAACAAATTATACAGCATGAATTAACTATACAACATGGACTAAACAAACTATACAGCATGAATTAACATAACTATACAACATGGACTAAACAAAACATAAAGCATGAATTAACATAACTACACAACATGGACTAAACAAACTATGCAGCATGAATTAACATAATTATGCAGCATAGGTCTGACATAATATATAGTAGGGATTATCCTAACTATGCAGCATAGGTTTCACATAACTATAGTATATGGAAAGGATTAGCTTTACCACACGACATGGGTTTGACTTAACTATACAACATATGATTTGGCTTAACTTTTGAATTTTTAGATTGAAGATGTATTTTAAACAGGTACTTTCCTCTGAATTGCCATAAGTTTTCCCTGTTGCACTACTCTCATGCTGTGAACGGCCATAATTTAAAAGTCTAAATATCCTTAACTCAGTGCAGAGCAGTGTACCCAGAATTTCTCTCTCCACCTTCTACGTGACATATTGAGTAAGAGTCAGGAAAACTTACATATGCTCTGCTTTCCCAACACAATTCAGATTTCTTATTTGCATTGGTGATGGAACGCTATGTGTATCACCCAGTTGTGGGTGGGAATGTATTTCAGATGTAAGTACCAATTTGAAAGAGGTAACCTTTGACATACCAAAAGCCAGAATACCTGGATTAAGAAGAAAGGTGAGAACTTGGGAAAGTTAAAGGCTATAAAAAAAAAAGAGGTTTTGAGGCAGGAAGATAATAACTTACACTACATCAAAGATGTTGTCAAGAAGATTTGGAGTAGAAACCAGAACCAAAATATCTGAAGAACTGGATTCAAGGGAAAATTAATGGAGCAGACCAGCATTATATAAAGAATGGGCCTTAGGCCACTCCAAATAAAGGCATTCTTCACACCAGGATACACCTGGTGGGAAAAGCACAGTTTATGTAGGTTCTCTTGATGAAAATACAATAAGTCACATGGAAGGTGAAACAGCAGAGAATCTTGGATAAGTTAATGCTTACTCTATATTGGGTCTAGGACATTCAGCACTTTGAATCACATTTGTGTTGACAACATGAAAGCACCTGAACAAGGAAAGACGTTAAGTATTACAGAGGTAAGTCTACCTGACTTGAGCTATTTAGAATTGGATGTTTAATAGAGAAGTGACTCTTATTCATCTTACAATATGGGTTACTCACTGTTTAATTTTTAAGGACTCTCTAACCCACTGATACACTATAAAGCAAAGATTAAATATTGATGTATCTTGAGATTAACATATCCCATAAAAACAGCTTGAATTAACATGGTTGTTCCTGAGGCCTGGCACTAATTTATGCACCATACAATCAAAACTGATGAATGTTCAATATGCGTTTAATCATCTTGTTTACCAAGTATCATAGGTCTATTTAGCTGCTTGATTTTGAGAGTTCAAAATGTCAAAATACTACTTACACATCATACAACCTGGGTTAAACATTACACTTTGCCAGAAAGACTTCCTACATGTAGCATTTCTGTGTAATTTGGTAATGTGTTTGAATTTACAAGCCTTAAAAGATAATAATGCTGATAGTAATAAAACATATAAAAGTCTGTAAAAACAGAAAATACTAAAAAGCTGGACAACAAATAATTTGCTTCTACAATTATAAATAACCTTTAAATAAATAAGTCATAAATATCAACATAGCAATCTAGAACTCAAATTTCAAGCCAATATATTTCTAAGGCTCACTTCAAAGTCTCCAAGCTAATTAAGTACCCACACTTGATATAATATCTAATTTAAGATCACCTTAAGCCACTATGTTGTACAATTAAGGAACAGAAAGGTAAAATGTTTTGCTTTAAAGTTTATAAAGAAACCAAACTTTTTGCTTTTTCCAGATGCTATACATAATTTTGATTTTAATATTTCACATTTTATTCTAAAAAACAGAGTACTTATTATCTGATTTTCTATAAATATTTAGTTATTTATTTCATATATCTTCTTTTATCCAAACCAACCAATTAAGGGAAGGCCAAGAAAACATTTCTGCCACTGACTATTAAACATTGATTAACATTTGGAAAGATGAACTTGAATGATATTTTTAGGTCCAGTTCCCACAGTTCACTACTTTTACATAGAATGTATGTATAATCATGAAAAAATCAACACTGCCAATGTTTCTTTCTAAAGTAAATGACATACAGAAGGGTACTGCATAAAGTTACTAGCATATACACTTGGCATCTCAGCTCCATTAACATATCTCTGATGAATTTTTCAACAATGCATTGTGACTTACTTATATAAATGACTTTCATGTTGTTCCTGACAAACTATTATATAACACAGAATGAATAATGCTTAGCTGTTATACTACAGACCACTTTGCTATTAAATTAAGAAGCTTTAATTTACTGAAATTACCACATCAAATTCTAGCTACTAATCCCAGCTACAATATATATATGCATTCAATTGCTTTAGACTTACCCTTTTCACCAATTAAACCATCAAGCCCATCAAAACCAGGATCACCCTTCAATCCTTTAAAACCTTTAGCAGCATAAAGAATATCTCCTTTCGCTCCCTTAGGTCCTGGGGGACCTGGAAGACCTTGCTGACCATCAATGCCACGAGGTCCATCATCTCCAAAATCTCCCTGAGCAAAATCACAATACAACATGGGTATAAACACTAAAAATGCTTTTATTTCACATAAAAGTTTAGAGTAGTTTCAGCATTAAAATTTGTATAAATGATTACTTTTCTATGTATTTACCAAGCTTTATATACTTCTACTACATATATACTAGAAGTTACTTTGAACATCTAACCTGCATAAAAGCCAGTGTGTGTCGTGTCACATCAAGCCTGATTTCTTGATATGGGAAGAATCATAAATGATAAAATGCACTTATCGAGATAGAATAATTTGATTACTGTTTTCTCATTACAAATTTAGTGATGGGGCCATGAGGAGGGGTATGAAACCTTACGAGTGTAGTGAGTGTTGGTATAATAAGCCTAAAGTAAAGACATAGCGTCGAATCACCTAGCCTACAGGCAAGTGCATGAAATTTATCATGAAAGTAAAAATATTAATAAAATTTTAAACTTAAATCATTTCTGAATTTAGCTATTTTTCTGTTATATCACCATTCTTAATAAAAAAAACAAATCCCTTTAATCAACAGAGACTCTAAATTAAGAAACAAACATTTTTCCAGTTTTGTTGTCTATACATTTCATTTTATACTTTCAGATAGACTAACACCGATATTAAGTTATACTTTTGTTGCTAAGCAACATGTTACCAAAACACACTGGCTTTTCTATATATTAGAAGTTGTTAATCTGATTTTTATCAATAATTATTCTACGAATGCACCACAAATTCATTTCATGAATAATCTTAATTTTGATTGGCTCACAAAGGAAGTTTCCGATGTTTGACTGGCTCAAGTGCATTTCTCTGCCTCTTTGTTGGTGAAGCTTGATTTTACAAAATTTATTTATTTCAGTTAGTTATGAAATGTGAGGTTATGGTATACTATGGGGTGGGGGTGGTAGTTCTTGCCTCATCATATTTGACAGGCTATATGCTGGTGTTATACTATTTTATTATATATATGTAAAATTATAGTTACATTTTCTTAATTTACTTTAATACATATTATTCACAGCATATTATTACAGATAAAACTCTATCCAGAAGATTTCCACTGCATCATTACTGTTAAGACAGTTACCATTTTATTCATACAAACATCACAAATCACATGAAAAATGTTATCATCAGTAAATAAGATGTGTATTAAATTGAAACAGGTATTAATACTTATAAATACATGTAGCAGCAGCAATTTCTTCTTTCCATTTTTAAGATGCATTCTGTTCACTTAGTTCTATAACACTTAAAATGTGCATATGACAAGCTTCGACATTATTGATTTATAATATCACATTAAGTAATATACAACTTGTAATAGTTAAAATGTGCATGTGACAAGCTTTGGCATTATTGATTTATAATATCACATTAAGTAATATACAACTTATAATACTTAAAATGTGCATATGACAAGCTTTGACATTATTGATTTATAATATCACATTAAGTAATATACAACTTATAATACTTAAAATGTGCATGTGACAAGCTTTGATATTATTGATTTATAATATCACATTAAGTAATATACAACTTATGATACTTAAAATGTGCATGTGACAAGCTTTGACATTATTGATTTATAATATCACATTATGTAACATATAACACTTTTCTTGTTTCATTGATATAGTTTATAATCCCAGTTAGCACAAAATCTATTAAACAATACTGGTTCAATGTTTGTTAATGAGTCTAATACCCAAACCATAAAAAGCATCAGTTGATAATAAAGCACTTAATAACAAAGAAGTCATAAAACAGTAAAATATGCACTTTTTTCTTAAATGATATAGCTTGTTTAGGCAGACTTGAATGGCTAAAAAACTATACCGGCTCTCCTTTCACTCCAGGAAATCCTCTAAAGCCCTCTGGACCCGAAGGACCTTCAGATCCTCTGATTCCATCAGCTCCAGGAGGCCCAATGTCTCCAGGTTCTCCTTTCATTCCTTTGATAGCACCTGGGAAGATCACTTCTCCTGTTGAGCCTCTTGAACCCTTTCGACCTTCAACACCATCAGACCCTGGCCGACCCTAGAAATATGTACAGTTCAGAGATTAAATTTGTTACTCATAAAAAATAAATTAGTGTAACTTATTTTAAGGAATATCTGTTACAATTATAGATTTATTGAAGTACTTTTTTTTTAAAATAGATCAAACATATCAAGATGATGTACAAAAAAGTTCATAAATTGAGTACACACAAGCACCTTGAAAAAATTAAATGCTGTATAATATCCAAAAGATTTGTTTAATTCTAAAGAGATAGGGAAAAAAATTCTTCATAATTTCTATGGAAAAAAAAGATATTACAAAAATATGTTCATATGAAATTACATTAAAAATAAAAGATTACTGTAAATGAGCAATAATACACCTAATGTATTTTACATATGTAAAACATGAAACCTATTTCATTAAAAAAACAAAAAAACAAGGTACCAATATTATGCTAAAGGCATAATTCAGTTTAAGTTGGCATACAAAATAATTAATAATTTGTATCATTATATAATTCTCTAAAATAGAGAAAAATCAATCCGCTCCAACTGAAATTTGAACCAAAGATCTAAACTCTCACTACAATTTGGAGCCCAATGCTTTAACAACTAAGACATATTTTGAGAAAACAACTGCATGGGAACTTTTATGTTTCAACCTTATCAACATAACGTATGTGCGTAACATACCATGTTCTTCTACAATTCTAAACAGAAACTTACTGGTACTCCTTTCAACCCTGGTATACCAGGTTTTCCAGTTGCACCTTTTCTTCCTTGTCTCCCAAGAAATCCTGGGAAACCTCTTGGTCCACGTGGTCCTAGAAAAACAAGCAAATCAAATGCTTATATTCTTCTAATTGTGTTTTGTTAGTAACAAATACAACAGAAAAGTAATATGTCATTATTAAGAATACAAACAAAGTTATAATAATATAGCATAACAATAATAAATCAAAACCAATGGGAACTACTTACATCACAATTCACTAATAATTATAAAGTAGCCCTAAAAGTAGAAATTTTATTTCAACATTTTATTATTTCATCAAATTGGTAACTCTTGATTTCCACTACTTATGAATTTTTAGCACAGCATGTGGAAGAAAGTCTTTCCTGTAAATGACCATGTTATCACAATGATATTAACAGAAAGTATGAAGCACTTTAAGCCGAACATGAATTCATCCAATTTCACACTTATATATAATTCTTCTGCAATTTTACCACTCTCTGAATTGTTCAGTCAAAATGTGTGAAGCAAATTACTGAGAAAGCCTAACATTATACTTATATATACTGCACAGTCTAGAACTCACCTTGTCGTCCATCATCTCCAACATCTCCTTTAGCACCAAGCAGCCCAGGTGGACAATAACCACAATCGTCACCTCTAGGCCCATATAAACCTGGCTCTCCATCCTTCCCTGGAGTTCCTGGTTCACCTGGTTCTCCTGGTATCCCTTGGAGTCCAATTTGACCAGGTGGCCCAATTTTAGGTACACCAATTCCAGGAATACCTTTTAGTCCTGTGACAAGAGAAATGCTTTCTTTGTAATACATTAACTAACAGAATAACATAAAAATCAGATAAAAGAGAAGAATGATAACTTCTAGCATACAGTTCATAGACTGAGATTTCTATTTTGTTTGCTAAAATATTTTAAGAATTATTAACAATCATATATTTTTAATGAAATGTGGTTTTCAATTTGTAGGAACCAAAAGAATGTTTCATACCTGGAGGACCTGGATCACCTCTTTGACCAGGTAATCCTGGTATACCATTAAGACCTTGCCTTCCAGACTCTCCTGGAGGTCCAACAACAGTGATTCCAGGCAGACCTTCTTCACCTGGAGGACCCTGAAGTCCTGGAAAACCAGGCTTTCCAACTATTCCTGTTTTTCCTGGTATCCCTGAAATATATTATTAACAAAAAAGTTGGTTAGCTTAATAACATTATGTGATGGCATACACATATGCTTGCCAATTCTCTCTCCATGAACTTGCGATAAAGTGGACTGTATAAGGTTATTCAACATAGATATAAGTAGCAAAGTTACAAGTTACTGTTCAAGATAGATAACAGTGCACACAGGAATATGAAAATGGTGGGTGGTCTCACACTGTTACTGCAGGGCCCAAAAATAAAGAACAAACTGCTTTAAGTATGCTCTATTATACAAATATTCTACATACAAATATGCAAACCATAACTTAAGTTCTGTAATTTTCTGTTAAGAATAAAAGGTCTAAATCTAAAAGCTACCAAATTCTTTTAATTTGGTGTTAACCCCAATATCACATCACTGCTAGAATGCTCAAGATAGCCATCTAATTATACTTTCTCAGACAGCTAAGTTGTTTGCCTAACAAACTGTTTGAACAAAGTTATTGACACAAATTATAATGACATTAGCAGAAAAATAAAAATTAATCCTTTGGAGAAAGTATAATTTGTGTCTCTTTTTTTGTTTAAGATATTTTCTGTAACTGATACTGCCTCTGATAAACCATCTAAAATTAGCATGTTGTTTAAAAGTACTCACTCAGTATATAGGGAGATAACATTAGTTTGATACTTTGTTAAAATTATCACTTACCATCCTCTCCTGGTTCTCCCTTAAAGCTAACTCCAGGTGGACCTGGCTCCCCAGAAGGACCCTGTGGACCTGGCACTCCAGGTGGACCACGATACCCTACAGGTCCATCATTTCCAGGTTTTCCTAGAAGACAACAAAAAAGTTAGATTTATCATACAGAGGCATAAGTTTATGGACATATGACGTGTACATAAAAATAGTGATATCAGAGGCAAATATGATATTTCATAATACTTAATACACACAAAAGATAAATACATGTATAAAAAATAGACGTATTTGTGGTATCATATCACAGTGACCCTTCAAGCATTAAATCAAGTCCAAGATCCACAGCATGAAAAACCTGTAATAATGTGTGTTGAAATTATGAAGAAAATACAGACTTGAATTGCTGTAATTATGTCTCAGCAGAGACATATACTGTTTTTCTATTGTTTCTTCTTCTTCCAAACACTTTTCAATCAACCACCATTCCTTCATTTCACAAGGTATATTTTGGGCTCCTGTATGGTCATATTTACAGTAATCAAAGCTATCAACACAATGACATACAAAAATGTTGGATTTGCCCATGTTGATTCTTTTTTTTGGGGGGGGGGGGTCAGAGATCACCAAAATGCATAACTTGGGGGGGGGGTAAATTACTTTGTTATATTTTGATCAATTTTTATGGAATTTGGTAAAGATACTTTTCTACATGTCCTTCTCATTGACAAAGAAAAATGATGGACTTGCACATTTTTATCAATTATAGGAGGGGGGTCAAGATGTCACAAAAAGCTTAATTTTAGGGTTTTTTTTACAACTATTACTCCATCTTTTGGACAATTTGCATGGGATTTGGTACAAAAATACTTTATAATGGTCCCAAACAGTAAAATAGACAATTATTGAATTTTTGTCTTTTGCTCAATTTTTCATTAAGGTTTGGTTTGATTTGTTTTGAATTTCACACAAAGCTACACAAGGGCCATCTACACTAGCCATCCCTAATATATCAGTGAAAGACTAGAGGGAAGGCAGCTAGTTATCACCACCCACTGCCAACTCTTGGGCTACTCTTTTACCAATGAATAGTGAGACTGACTGTCACATTATAACAGCCCCATAGCTGAAAGGGCAAGCATTTTAGGTGTGACAGGTATTCGAACATGTAACCAACAGATTGTGGGTTGAGCGCCTAACCACCTGGCCATGCCGGGCCCTTCAGCAAGGAAATAACAATTTAGGGTTTTTATGAACTATCCATGGGTATGCCTACCAACTTACATGAGATTTGATACAAAGATACCTTCTTGTAGGTCCAAAGCAGTAATATAGCCAGTTTTCAACTTTTCTGGTGTCAAAATTGTCCAATATGGAATTGTGTGGCAGAGACATGTTTCATTTGACTGCATATGTTGGCATCTTTAATGTAAAAATCACATTCATTTTAACTCAAACATTTTTCTTAAGAGACTTAACCAAATTTACCTTGGTGAAAATTAAATAAAGATAATACCAACTAACCATCTTGTCTACACAGAAATTACAGTGTATCACTTGCACCACTTAGTGCCATGTCAATCCTTCTATTTCCCAGCAATCTAAGGTAATTATTTTTCTTGTGGTGATCTCAAGGTTATATCAAGCATACAGACACTCAATCTGCTCACAATCTAGCAAACTTTTGGAATACTTAGAACACCATTTTCAGTGGTAAACATATCATGTATAACATCATTTGAACATAGCCTCTGCAAGTGTGCTAGTGTTATTCCATGGCCAATTTTCAGTTGAGACTCTACATTAGAACCATCTATAAATGTTCTCAGAAGAGATTAATAACAAATAATATTTAAGCTCATAATAAGAACATTAATTAATTGAACTAGAATTTAATTGGACGGTCTACACATTATTTTAATTTTCTTTTATAATACAAGCTTTCAGCTCGATACCTAAGATTTCAACAGGTGTAAGATGTAACTGAACAAGAAGGAGGATGGAAAGATGAAATTAAGTAGAAGTTTCACTTTCAGTATCTCCGAGGTAATTGGAGATACACCAAAAGCCTTGGTTCTTTCCTTCAGTGATCTGGGTTTCTCATGCTACAAATCTGAACCACCACCACATCATCAACATTGTGGCAGAAGGAAAGGATGTCCCTAAAATGTCAGTAAACCTCTGTGAAGTTCTTAACAAGATGGAGAAACACACAAGATGTCATCCAGAGAACATCAGCAGAATGTTAGTGTTCTATTGCTCTTTTGGATAAACTGCTCATCACCATGATTCAGCCCTTCACAGTCTTTCAGTAAGTAAATTTGTATATCTTTTTTAATTCATTCCTGTTCTTCACTTTTAGTATGTTTGTGTATTTTGTATATCTACTTCTGATTTCATATGATAAGCTATATTTATTTTATAGCTTTATTTGCATATATTCATACACATCTTATAATAGCTAATATTTTAAATCTAAGTAAAGAAAGAAGACTAATTTATGTTTCTTAGTTTAATTCATGCCTAAAGGTTTATTCTTTTTGTAGTTTGTTTGAGATATTTCATTCTGACATACTTAATTTGTTCTAAAAAGGGTTTATTTTTGTACTGTATTTCTAAAAGAGGTTTATTGCCATGCTATTGTTTGTTTTATATGTATTGTAAAGAATGTTTCTTTCTTGTGGTTTAGCAGGTTTTACTTTCCTTCTATGTAGGATTGTAGATAATGTTTAAGCTGATCTTCCCACTTCATTATTTCATATTGTTCATTTCAACTAATTTCTTTAATCTTTGTTCTATCATTTTTTTATGTTTTGTACTTTACATGAAAATGGTTTTTGTTATTAATATTATGTTATTTCAATTATGATTTTGTACTTGTGTAATTCTTCATTGCATTCCAATTACATGAAAATTCTGATTTGTTTTATTTTACTGTATTTAGTTTTAATTTCATTATTATAATTTATTTTACTTGGCATACCAAAGAGATTAGACAAAATAATGCAAACACTTGCTAATTTTTACATTATATTCATTAATATTTAGTTTTCTCCATAAGCAAAAAATAAGTCATTAACATGACCTGAAACTGATGAAATAAGATAATGAACCTCAACCATCGTTTTTTACCAATTAAAGCTTCTTATAATTGTTAAGGTGATATTAGTGGTGGAAGTCTTCTTGAATGATAGGTTCTAAGGTCTGATCATAGAGGCTCAATAACACTTAAATCTCATGACTGTGGTGGCCAAGTTAGGTGCCCAAATGTCTCTTCGTATTTTTTGCACCAACCTTTAACATTTTATGCAGTATATATTAGTGAATATTAGTCTTCCTGAAATTAAAATTTTTTTATCTGAAAACGTATTTCCAATATATATTCACCTTTACACACAAAATAGCTTATTTTCCTCTTGAGTTTGTCTGCCAATAGAGATTTCCAAGCCACCAGTTTTATGAAAACTCCCGCCTAATCTCACATGAAACCATGTGAATTTACACCACTGCGTGATCATGAAATAATGCTGCAGAACTCTCCACCAATAAATATGGTGAGGTTGAAGTAAGCCCTTAAAGGAGGAAGTGCAAGAAAGATAACAACAAATGGCCCATGTGGTGGTGGAGAGTTCAGGATGTATCTAAACATCAGAATGATGGCAACTGCAGGCAAGAAGGAGAAGGAAACGGGTTTTGAGAGAGAGATGATACATGAAGCAAGTGGCAAGAGGTTTGAAAGGGCCCTGAGTTAGAGTGTGAAGAACCATGTTCATGTCCCTGTTGTGCAAGAGCATAAGATGCAAGGGCCTCTGGATTAGGAATGAAAAGAAGAAGGTGATAAGAACAGGTTGAAGAAAGAAATTTCTTTGGTATTGGGAAAAGTGGAATGTAGTAGATAGTACTGCCCAATAACCCGCAAAGGTAAAGACAGGTAAGCCGTGGTCAAAGATCCATGTGAAGAAGGAGGTAAGGTGTTGTAAGGTAGGTTGGGCAGGGGAGAAATGGTGAAGGATAGACCAATAGTGATAAGCATGCAATTTACGTTGGTACACTGAAGGGGTGGAAGGATGGCAAGAATGGGACAGGAAAAAAGCTCCACAATCAGATGATCCAGCTCAATGAGCAATGGAATGGAAAAACCTCACATGATAAAATAAAGGGATGTCACTCCTTGATGAAAGAGCGACACATGCAGTTTGACCAGGAAGGATGGAATATTGGGAAGAGGAAGAGAGCTGATAGAAGATGGAGTAATGTAAACCAAGGTCTAGCAGGCCAGTAAGTGGCTACCAACAGGACCCTGCAAGGGGGTGTCCCAAAGCACAGCAAGGACCTGAGGAAGGGGGCAGAGAGGAAAATAGACATAGCGGAAGAGATGGGACCAGTCCTGACTAAGGGTATTGACAGCCAAGGCTGATGAGTGAGGTAAGTGAGACCAAAAGAGAAGAAGTCTGGGATTGAATGGTGTGGCAAAGGCATCTATGAGGGGTTCTGAGTTGGGAGCAAATCTAATAGAAGATATGAAGATGAAGGGACCATTCCACAGTTAGGACACAGTCTCGAAGAGAAAGATAGTCAATGCCAATGTTCAGTGCACCTGAAACCTGACAGCCTACTATACCCTCCAAATGGAATGGGCCCAAGAAAGGAAGTATGAAGTCTAAAAGCAGAAGGTCCTGAAACAGGTGTCCCCTTGGTGGTTGATATGCAACATGACCATGGAGTTGTCCAAGTTGATCACTAACAAATGATCCACAAGGAGAGAAAGGAAATTAGATCATGCCTCTAAACAAACTGGAGAAGGTTGTGCACAGCTGAGGTAAGAGTTGAAGAGAATTCCAAGGTGAATGAAATACTGGGTTGGGATAAGGAAGAACTTGGAAATCTTGAAAAGCCACCCTAAATGAGCAGCTTCATGAAGTAAGGAAGTTTGTTTCGAGGATTCCCTGGTAGTTGGTGGGGAGAAGCCATTCATCCATGCAGAAATAGAATCATAGACCCAGATTGTGAATATTTCAAGCAAAAGTCTGTATAATGTGATTGAAAACATAAGGGGCCAATGCTATTCTGAACAGGGCATGGAACTGAAAAATGTGATCTCTGTAGACGAATCAGAGAAAATGTCATAAGAATGGGGCAACTGGAATGTGGAGAAAGGTGTCTGGCACATCAACTTTGGTCTTCCAGGTTGGAAAGACCAATAGAGAGAGAGAAAAAATTCTCCATCCAAAAATGTGGGATGACCAAGAAATGATTGATGGAGGAAAGGTCAATAATCGAGTGCCAATCCTGCTCGTTTGGGGGAACAACAAAGAGGCAGCAGTAATAACCCAGAGAGAGGTTGTGAACTCATTCAATGGCTTGTTTCTCTAACAAATCTGACACTGCCCCCTATAGATGTTGAAGGTAGGCCAGATTCAATAGGTATTGAAAGGCAATAGGTTGAGAAAGATGAGGAAGGAGAAGAGAAAGACCATGGGAAAGAACTTGAGTAACCCATCTGTCAGAAGGGAAAAGTGTCCATAAGTCTGCAAACTGAGACGGAGGGGATGCCACATGTCCCAAAACAACCAGATGGCAAGAAAAGGTGGAAGGTCTAGATACAGGAATAGAATGGGAAACAGAAGAAAAGCAAGGGTGAGGTGCAGAAGTGGAAGGGCAAGGTTGGAACAAATTCGAAGTAAGGGAAGATTGATGGCAGACAGCTTCAGTTCATGAATCATGGTAACCAGGGACACAACAAAAACATCTAAACAAAGAAATGGGGTAAAACAAAGGTCCTGGAGATAAGAGAAAATGAGATGTACTTGAGAAAATGGGGCATCTCTTCATAAAAGGTCCCAAAAATAAAGGAACTAAGCAAGAAGAGAAAGGGCAGGTGAGGTGGAATGAACAATGTAGAGAAGGAGAGCACTCTGGAGTCCCAAAAATGTCATCAGGGGAATAGTGAAGCACTTTCATCATAAGGTGGAGGAATGAGAGGTACCTAAGAAGGGTAATAAAAAGGCTCAAAGTTGGCCTGACCATCTGTCTTGGATCCAGGGAAAACAACAACCTTACCAGTGAATATGACAATGGGAATTTTTCCTTTATTTTTTCCAGAGTTACCACCAGAAATGATATGCATTCCATTCGGAATTCCAACAGTCTTTTCTCAGAAACACTTGCATCTTTCAAGGCTTTTGTCGTCATCAAACCAATGTCAACTTTCTTGTAGTTTACATGATTTGCTTTTTAATTATTGTCAATGTCCACGAGTTTTTCTGTGGTGTTAACAGCAGTGAGAATGTCCTCCTTTATAAATCTTCTCATCAATCCTCTTACCATACAAGATAAGTCAAACAACAAAAAGCAAACAAATGGCCTGTCTGTTTGGTACTTCTGAAGAAATGGCTGCATTTCTCCAGCCACCACCTTGAGGAAATTAATCTTTGCCTTGATGAGCTTGTCACCAGCACTCTCTTTAATGATCGCATAGGATTTTGATGTTGGCCGATCAATTTTTTTAGCCTCAGCTGCTCCCACAAACTTTACTATATTATCCCACACTTCCAAGGCTCTCTCAGCGACTGGTATGTTCTCCAGCCATCTGTGGTTGACAAACTTCAGTGGCAACCTGGAACTTTTGGTCAACAGTTCAAAGTACTCCCTCCTTGCTGGGGAATCTTTGAATAAATAATATAGTGCAGACAACAAAGTATCTATGGCCCATAAGGAAGCTTTTACCTCTGTCTTAAAACTGTTGTTCACTACGTGAAGACCACCAAAAAAAATGACTGGAAGTCATTCAACATTTTTTTTATTCATGATGTCATGGAATTTCCAGTTAACATTTGGCCCATCCATGCTTATTTGTACTAACTTGGGTTTTTTCAACATCTCTACTGCTTCTTAGAAATGCACAACAATGTGAGTAATACCTTTACTCATATCATCAGAAGAAGAGTTCACATTAAACTGTAAATTCATATTGAGTATGTCTAAACTCAATCAAATGAAAGTTGAAAATCGAAAAAGTGGCAAATGTCAGAAAACTCAAACACATCTGTTTATGATAATGTCAAGGAAAAGACTGAGGATTCATGAGTGCAATTCATGAGTTCATTTTGCATAGAGGTGTGTCATATTCCTATTAGAGAAGGATTCTGCTGCATGATTACATCATTATGCAGTGGTGCAAGTCACTTGGTTTCATGTAAGATTAGTTGGGAGTTTTCACATGGCTAGTAGCTTGCAAATATATTTTGCAGATTGTGTGAACTCATGAGGAAAATAAGCTATTCTATGTGAGGTGGTAAGTACTTGTTTGGAAAAAGATCATTTGCATCTGAGAATAAAGTGTTATCACATGGTAAGCCTCATTTGAAATAAAGTTTAAGTAATCATTTGCTGTTACTTTACCTTTTGGTGAGATCATGATCTAAAATATTCCAACAAAACAGTGCCCCTACCATTATAGAACCTTTACCATGCTCAACTGACAGCATAAGACATTCAGGTTTGTGAGTTTCTTTTGGTCTTCACCACATATAAATAAGTCCATTTGATCTTCAGTCCAAATTTTATGCTCTTAACACCATATTTTTGTGTTTTTAAGAGTTTTGGAATGGCAGATCTACCATGGTAACCATGCTGGTGTAGTCCTCTTCAAGTTCTTTCAACAGAAATTGGTTTCCATAGGCTAAAGTTAAGTTCTGTGCATATCTTTGAAGCTAGTCTTTTATTTTTAGTCTCAGCACTTGTATTAAAACTTGTCTGTCCTGACCTGTCAAGACAGTTTTCAATCACTAACATGTGGTTTTATTTTTATTCGTTTGTTTATTGATTTTTGCACAAAGCTATTCAAGGGCTAACTGCACTAGCTGTCCATAATTGTGAAGTGCCAGATTAGAGGGAAGGCAGACAGTCAACACCATCGACTGCCAAATCTTCACCAATGAATAGTGGAATTGACCATCATATTATAATGTTCCCACAGCTGAAAGGGTGAGCAAGTTTAGAGACTAAGTTTGATCCCATGACCCACATGCCAGTCAAGCACCCTAACCATGGGAATATGCCAGACCCTTGATTTTACATTTCAATATCCATGTTGACATAACTTCTATCACTGTTCCTCAAGATACACTCATTACTTTAAGTGTTCGTGTTATAGAGGATATAGCTACACTGAGGTTCTCACCTCCAGTTAAGCCTCTTTGGAAATCTGACAGATCTTTTTAGCTTAGCATGTAGTTTCTTTTTAGCTTAGGTTTCTCTAAATAAACAATAATAGACTACTGACATGTAGACAAATCAGTGATTTCTGATAATCTAATACACAGTGAAATTATCATATGGTAATATTTTTCCCTTTTTTTTTTAGAGACACCAAAACTGAGGTGTTTCAGTTACTTTTTCTTACTCGGTATATTCAATTGAGTTTATTTTATGTGTTTTGCATGTATTTACTATTGTGTCTTATTAAAATACTCTCTTTCTACGTTAGAATGCATGTCTAGTCATTTATGTTTGCAAAAGATTCATTTTCCTGGATTTATATTTTTTATATTATTTTCTTTATGTATAAAAAGGGTTTTCATTTTGTACTGCACTGAAAGTTTTATTTCTGTTCGATTTTCTTTTAACTTAAAGGCTTTATTTTGTATTTTTGCATTATTTCAAAGGGTTTATTTGAATGTATTTAAAAAAGGGTTGTTTTTCATGTTTTCAAGGATACTACCTATTTCAGTTTGTCTTTAAAGGGTTAATTTTATTTCATTTTTAAAGGTATAATTTTTATGTATCTGATTTTGTATATTCTTTTTAAAAAATTTATTTCGTGATCTTTATTTTGGTGGATTCTCTTGTTGCATGCTACATTTTTAGACAGTGAGGATGTTATCATATCTAAGTTTAATGTATGGATGGTTCATTTAGTGCTTTATCATGTTAACTTGAATCTCTAATTGTTACAAATGTCAGGTACTTGGTTTGTTATTGAATTACCATAGAGTCACTAAGCTCATATTTAAATGCTGTGTTCTAATTGAACTGTAAGTTACAATCAGGAATAACTAAGAATTTCAAGATTTGTAAATCATTCAACAACTGAACTTGGAACTTTATTACATAAGTACTTTAACATTTTTTTACCCAAAAAGAAAAAATTAAATTAACATATAACATACCTGGTATTCCTGGATCACCCCTCTCCCCCACAGAACCTTGTGGACCTGGAGAACCAGGAAGGGGTTCACCAATTAAAATTGTTGGTCCAGGTGGACCCTGGTTGATAAAGAAATAAGATAAATTACATTACAATATAGGTAAGTGCTTTGATTACAGAAATTCGGAAATTAATTAATTAGCCATAAAAATAAATAATCAAATATCTAAAATTTTTTTTTATTAGATCTAGTTTTGATCAAGTACCATTTTTAGATCTTAGAGTCAGACAAATAAATCACATATTAAATAGATATCTCTAAATATAGGATCAATTTCACACCATATTTTGTGTTACAATTATACAACTTATTTCCTTCATACAGAAGGTTAACTTATTTTGTAAATAAACTACTTTTTAAAAAATAAAAATATGTAGTTAAAAATAATAAAAATTCTAATAAAAAGTATCTTATGGTGATATACAACAGAAATAAACTATGCTAAATAAGCATAGAATTATGAATTGCACGGTAGATTAATGCAAAATAAATTATGAGAAGGTTAAAAAAAGAAAAATATGTTAGATATAGTAGAATAAGCAAAGTAAAGATTAAAATGCATTATATGATAGAATAGTATAAACAACATTTGGTTCTGGCACTTATAAAGGGATAACCAGAGTAAGAAGATAAGATCTTGTAAACTACAATAAAAACAAAGAACATATTGATATGTAATAGGGTTGATAAGATAAAAAGAGGTAATTAAGAAAATATTTTGTAAGATACAATGAAGTATATTGAGTAAAGCATGATAAAGTGGCTAAAGTAATGTTAGAACAAACATAAAAATATGAGATAAATAATACATTACAAAGAGAATCAGTGTATAGTTAAGCTAGTGGTATGTAATGTAGCAAAAACTTCAATAGGTAGAAATTTAAGAAGGGTAAAGAAAGAGAGAGTATAAAAATGAAGTAAGATAAGGTGAGTAATTAAGATATGATAAGGTAAAATACAGTAGACAAACTGACAAAGAGATATTCATAACTGGTGAATAACTGTTTATGGAAGTGCAGTTCATTAGAAATAACTACAGAAATTAAGAGTTGTTGAACTCACAGGTGGGCCTTGAAGACCTTGAGAACCATGTCTGCCATCTTCTCCTTGTGGTCCCTGCCAAATATAACAGATATACGTTATTTTAATTTTGTTACAAACCAAATTGCCCTGAAATTGTCTTTAAAATTCCAACAGTAATAAAGATATTAGTGAAATTGTCAATAACAATGAAATTGTTCATGGTATTGTTAGTTTATGTTTTTAAATTTTAGAAAATGCCCCAAACAAAATTCTGGATTGGCAATTTTAAGATAATATCAGAAAATTTGTATTTATTGATAATTATTAGTTCTTTAACAACAGAATAATTATATCTTTGGCTCCTGATTTTTTGTGTTTTAATGCACTAATATTGCATTATAAAAAACAAACAAACTTATGAAGTATGGGTAGATTTCAGAGATGTCAATGCAACACTCTTAGAAAACAATTAATTTTCTTTGTTTTTCAAGTAATTCTTTTTTTGTTTTACAATAAAACAAACAAAACAGTCAGGCTAGCTGATAGAGAAGGTATTTCAATTGTGTTTTAATAGTAACATGAAAAGTTTAGTTCAATGTGACTAATATATATAACTTTCATTAAGAGCTTTTTCATGTATGGAATACCTCTTATTAAAGAAAGTTATAAACTTTGTCCATATCATTTTTATTCACACTATGAGTATTAAATATTAAAACATATCATTAGTAATGACTATAATTTCAAAGCATTTTATTTCATTAACCATTATAGGAATATAAGTATTACCATTGTTAAATAAACATTGGATCATTTCTGTTAAAAATGACACTGATAACTACATAACAGTTATAATTTATTATGACATTGTAATATTCCATCCAAGGGATAAATAATTAAGTTTATAGGTAGTCTTGTTGTTGTCATATTGTTGTATACAACTCATTTTCATTTTCCTTATATTTGAAATATGAATGTTGTATTTGCTTTGGACCAGATTTTAGAAAAAGAAACAACAGTATCATTATGACTAGGTTAAATAGTCTAAATTACTAACCATTTGCAATTCAGATCATAGAACTAATTATTTGACATCCTGATTTTAATACAACTAAAAACAGAGAAGGAAGAATTTTCTCTAACACTAAACTTTATCTTGTCATGACTATTCTATTAAAAATTATAATTATCTTTTGGTTGTTTTATGCAGTGTATAAAAGTATTATACTGTTCTGTCCTCCAATGTTCTATGTATGAAGCTGGTGTTACCTTTTTGATGGTAAACAGAAGTTAAATATGTACAAATGCAGCAGAATCAAAACTATGCAAAAGCATTTCTTCAATCTATTAGCTTTTTTAAATAGTTTGTTAGCAGAGTTAGATATGAAAAGATTTATTTTTCGACCATAATGAAAAGAATGACTGTTACATTTCAGATAAGTTAATTTTTGAAAAATAGATTAAAACCATTTTAACCAATATTGTCTTTGTCCAAGTGAATTATATTAAAGGTATTTTTATGAAGGAACTTGGGATATTTGTAGCTTTTGAGTAGAAAATAGTATTGTTTTTTACAGGACACTTAACTCTACAAGAGTTCTTTGTTTTAATTTTGTCCTTCAAGTCAGGTAAATATTTTAATCATTAAATTTTTTTTGTAATTAAATTTCTTGTTAATAAAAATTGTCTCAAATTAAGTTTTAAGTTAGTTTAAAAAACTACAGAAAACACAAAACAATACACATATTTCAGGCAAAAAAGGCTGAGAATTGTTTTACTTTTTAGCTTTGTTGGACCTACGATGGCTTTTTAAGTCATGACATTCATAGGACTATCACAAAAGTAATAATTTTATGTGAGGATATTAACACTAACACTTTTTGATAACAAACATACTAGTACTGATGGTAAAAATATATCTTAAAATAACACAAAGTCAATGTTAAATAGGTATAATATCATTACAGTTGATAATGTCACAACTTATGAAAATTGCTCAACTCATAATTTTATTTCTCAATCGAGACACTAAAATGTAACTTTTATTGATTAAAAGTATTATAATTATTTAAAATCTTCAATGAAATAACGTTATTATAATCATCTGATACCTTAACTCCAAAAACACCATCTTCTCCAGTCAACCCTGGCTGACCTTTTTGACCTTTCTCTCCAGTTGGTCCAGGAAGACCATCTTTGCCTCTTTTTCCCTAAACACAAAAACTAATATTTAATTGATTTTTTTAAAAACAATTTCTCATGACAAAATTCATTTATTTGACTTAGGAAGCATAATATCCAATATTTTGTACATGTGACTGGAAAAATTAAACTCTATGATAATTTAAACAGGTTAATCAACTCACACATAAGTGAATATTTTATATATTAAAAATATAATTCAAAAAATGAATTGAATGATGTGGCTAGTATTTTAATTTTTAAAAAATACTTCATTGTTAAAAATCATTGAATAATAAATCGTTTTAAATTAAGGATAAAGCTTGAAATGAAAAATCAACATTCCAAAAAGTCTTGAAAATTCTAAATATTCATTAAATACTCAAAAAAAGGCCTGCAATAAGTAAAAAACTTAACAATTTCTTATTAAACGTTATTTTTATAACTCAACTTACTCTTGGTCCAGGATCACCTCTCTCTCCTCTTTCTCCTTTAGGACCAGGAACACCAGGACTGCCCTTTTGTGTCCAAAATATTGAAGGTTTAGATTTAATATAACGACATATATTCATATACCTATCTATATTTACTCTATAATCATCAGTTCTTTCATATATCTATCCATTTATATTTCTGTCTACTTATTTCATATATCAGAAAGAAAATTAAAAGTACTTAGTAAGTAGACTTATAAATTCATAGAGAGAAAAATATCACTGCTGCTGCAATATATTCGAATCAATTACCAACAAAAATTTAATTAACTTTCATTTCTTAAATATCCATCTGCCTTCATACATAAATATATACACATACATATATCATATAGCTACCATATCTATAACAAGTAACGTCACACCTTGACTCTAGAGAGAAATAATCACTTTCTGAATATTATCCAACTTGTTCACACTGCATATTGAATGAGCTAGAAATTAATAAGTCTTTATGAACTCAATCCAGGTATTAAATTTTGGTGAGATACTTTATTTAATTACTAAGATTAAGTTATTTAGTTTGGTTTAACAATGCAAACATTTCAAATAATAATTAAAAGATGTACTTACAGTTTCTCCAGGTCTCCCACTTAAGCCTAATTCACCTTTGGCTCCTTTTTCTCCCTACAAAAGAAATTATGATAAATTAAGAAAATTACTTTTAGCAAACTTTCCAATGTAATCATAAAAAGCTATGAGTTATTCATTCCCTCTAAATAATTAAAGGTGATGTGAATATGAACTCATTTTCCAAATAATATTCAAGAGCAAAATATTGAGATTAAAATACTCATCTAATTAACCATTAGGAAAACAATGAATCTATCAAAATTAGTAATCAATAACAATCTAGAACAATAGAGATTGGAAGATTAAATAAGCAGCAAAAAATATATATATACTACTCTTTATAAGTGTGCATGCTGAATAACATAATACTCATCTGATTATAAGAGTAACATCTGTGCAAGATACACTTGTGCATATGTCTCACCACAAAGTTACTCATACTGAATTAAGACCAGCACTGATCAGAAGTATAAAGAAGGCAAAATAAAAACATGCTATCCCTTCTGCATGTAAAAACATGTTAATATAAATGCAATACACAAATTGAAGAAAGGTTCTTCTTAGTCTTACAATGTACACAATTACCATACAGTCCTCTGCACTACAGCATACAGTAAAGACAACCATAACATACTTCAAACATTGAGGTTACAAATAACATAAAACAAATCTGTTAAAAATGCCATCAATGTTTAAGTAATTCTTTTACAAACCATTTTAGCTGATTCTTACTTTATGTATTTTAAAACTTTATGGGATACCTCCCAAACTTTAAATAGTATAGGATATAAAGTGAATACACAGGACTCCTGCTATTATATAGGTTGAAGACAAGATCTTATACACAATGCAACAGATAAAATCAATATCTGTATAAAAATAGTATATTCTCACTTTATAATAAAAACAAATTACTTCCCCTATTACAACATATGAGATAAACCTGAGGTCTCAGATACTCTAAATAATACATATTCACATAAAATCTAATTCCAATTCCAGTAAACTTTTAATAACTCACAAACAAAATAAATCTGAAATTCAAAATATCTTTTATACATGACAATTTTTGTTAATGTAACATGACAGACAACAAGGGACCATTTGGTCTTTCAAGTCTGTCCCTGCACATGAATTTACACTCCCTTGAGTTAAAGTAAAAATGTAAACCCACCCTTTATTTTTCACTAAATTGTTGATTCTCCTTTAAATGAATGGGCATAAAAAAATCTTACCTTTTCTCCCTGTACACCTTTCAGTCCTCTTATGAATATCAAAGTCTCAGAATCAGGTCCTGATGTTCCTTGGGGTCCCATATCTCCAGGAGATCCCCTATCACCCTAAAGCATGGGAGATACAGATTTTTTTTTTTTCATAAGAGTTTTTTAATCTTTCAGAACCAAATACAATTAATACCTTCATGTACTTTAATTCATACTGAAGGGATGGGTATTTCTTTCCCTTCATATTTTGATACAAGTTTGTTTGTTTGAAGTTAAGCACAAAGCTACACAATAAGCTATCTATTTCTAGCATTGCAAGTCCACAGACTGTGCCACTGGGGGCTTTTATAAATGAAATTTTATACTTTAATACATTGATAAAAAATATCAAATAGATATGAAATTCATTTTTATTTTAGAAAATATTACTTAATTACAATTTGTAAAAGAGTTATAACTATGGCAAAAAATAATACAGCAATTTATATTACATTTTATTTAAACTATAGTAAGTAATTAATATTTTTTGAAGTAAAATGCTTGAAAGAGTTTTAACGTGTATGTTAAAACCATAAAAAGTTGAAAGGCAATGTTGTGAAAATAAAACCAAAAAGTAGGTGATGTTTCTTCCCATAACATACAATTGTAACTATTCTATGATTTGAACTAATACTTTACTTTTGGTCCTTTCGATCCTCTCCTACTCTCTCCTTCTGGTCCTTTTGGACCTTGTTCTCCTGGATCACCTTGTACCCCCTAGAAAAATTAAAATCATCAAGAAAAATAAGTATGTCCTTCAACTAAAAAAAATATAAATAAAATCTGCTTTCTTGAATAAAACAAAAAATATTTAAGTACATTAAGATATGAAAAATTAAAATCATCAAGGAAAATGAGTATTTGCTTTAAATAAAAAACATCTGCTTTTTAGAATACAATAAGAAATATTTAACTGAATTACAATATAAAAAAAATGACATGAAATAAAAATATTTTCTGTGAAATCAGGTTTTAAGAATATATATATATATACATTTCAAGAATTTATGTGTGAAAGTAAAAAAAATATGAAATAATATCTGTTATATCTAGGGCTCTTCAGGTTGGCTGGGATATAACATACATAGTAGTGGTTGAGGCACTCTTTATATCCTCAGTTGCATGGACAACAACTGTTACCATTGTGAACTAGAATTAAGTAAGTGAATTGTAATTATTATTAATTCTACTCCAGTAATTTAAAAAACAGAATTAAGGTAAGGATTAATAAAAATTTATTATTTATATATATTCTAACCCTAATTATATATTAGTATTGTTATTTTGGTTTGAAATAAATTTACTATCATTCAGAAGACCTGATAGACATATTCCCCAGAGCAGGTCAAGCAATTAAAGCACCAATGGGAGAAAACAATATTACTAATACCAAGAACTTATGTGTGAAAGCAAAGAAAAGTATGTCTACCACACTACTTATAATATATCCAGTACCAACAAAGCCTTTTGCCCAACACCAGGGCTCATCAGGCAGACTGGGATACAACAGATGTAGTAGTTGAGAGAGGTATTTATACCATCAACTTCATGAGTTACAACAACAAATATATAT